CGCGCGGGCCCCTGCGGCGAGGCGGTCCCTGGCCTGTGGAGCGGGGAGGGGAGGGGAGGGGGATCGTCCCCCCACGTCCAGCGGCCGCCCGAGGTGGTGGGGGATGAACAAGCTGCTGGGGGAGGCTCTGTGGCACAGCGCAGGGCCCTGCCCCACATCCAGACTGTGCCGATGCCTAACAAAACGGCTGCAAATCCACTGGCGAGTGAGACCGGTGCGGATTTGGAGCCTCAGAACCATTCAGAACACAAAAGCCTCGCACGCTTTTGTTTACGTGCTCCCTATCCACAGCCCCTCCACGTCCTAGGCCCCCCGGGCCCTCACCAAGCTTGCAGTCCATGGAGCCGGGGAGGAGGTTGTGGCCGAGAGGACCTGCAGGGCGCTGTTCCCATCCCTCATACAACCACATCTCCAGGCGCATTTGAGGACCCGCAGTTTCAAGATGCATCCAAGGTCCAGTAGGTAAAAATCCCTGTTTGCTTTCTAGTATTTTGTAATGCAGTACAGGCCTGGTGTGCAAACATCATGCACAAGTTACATCCAGAGATTTCAAATAAGAATTCATAGTATTAAAAACATTCTGACCCATTTTAGTCTTTCTGTGGTTTTTACAGGGGGAAAAAAAAAAAAAAAAAAAAAAGAGCAATTCTCCTTGCTGCAGTCAAAAAAAAGTCAAAACTAAGAGCTGGCATTTTCTGAGGGCTGCCTCAAGTCTCTAAAGGTTAGGAACCACTGATACAAGGTCTGCACTGAAAGGCTTGCACAATATTAAGTGGACATGTCAAATCAAAAAATCAACTTTCACCAGAATGACAGTGTCGCTGTGCAATGAAAGCTTGTCTAGCTTTATCCCAACTACATAGTTGGTCCAATAAAAGGTATCACCCTAAGAAATTCTTGCTGCCGTCACATTTTTGCTCACACTTCAAGTCACCTCTGGACAGAGACCAGGCTGATAACCAGTGGGTTGATGGCTTGAGAGGAAAGAGGAGAAGCTTGTCCTTGAGATGCATGGTAAATGAAGCAATAGTAGGTTGTCACTCGACAGCCCAACTTGTAAGAAATCTGGACAGGCACTTGTGGTAACATAGCAGAGCATCCAAATTCCTTAGTAGATAGTGGAAGGGAGAGAAAGGGGAGAAAGAATATCATCAGTATAAAGGTGCTGAAACTACTCAGATGACTAGTATTTAACAGGGGAAAAAAAAAGGGGGGGGGGGGGGGGGTGGGGGGGGGGGGGGGAGGACCCAGAGACAGACTGCTCAGGAACCAACAGAAAGGGAGGAGGCAGCTGCAGTGGCAGAAGAGGACCCAGTGAAAGACTGAGCCATAGAAGTCCCACCCAAAACAATGAGAAGCTATTAGTGCTGCCCATGGCAGCTGTGAGAGGGAGCAGCATTGAAGAGAATGGGAGTTACAGCATACATTAGAGTCGGATACTGCTGATTCTTATGGTAGAAGTCTAACTTGGCCTCAGAAAGTGGTTATGGCATCAGTGCCATAGAACAAGAATGACTTGTACCCTTTTTCTCAATTTAAAATTAATTTGGCAATTCCATATTAACGTTTTATATATGGGTATGTCCTCAGGGAGCTCTGTTACATTTCAGCTAGTTAGGTGGCAGGTTATAATACTCTGCATTATATTACAGGGGTGGGCAAAATCTGGCCCATGACTGCCCCTGCAGTGCGCCACATGGGGCTGAGCCCACCTGCTTCCATCTAGGGCAGCATGTGCCTTACTGGTGCCCATGCCTGCCAGCTGATGTGCACAGCTTCCCAGTAGGGCTGCTGTTGCTGCTGCAGCCAGCCAGGTACTGCTCAGCTCCCCTGCCTCCAGCAGTTCCACCTCCTGCCCCTGCTGCACCACTTCAGGCATCAGGTAGTGTGGGGAAGTGGTGGCAACCATGTGGGCACATGCCAGGCACCACACACCCAGCCAGGTGGGGGAAGGAAGCTGCAGCCAGACGGCTCCTGCCCTAGCATGTGGGGCTCCAGCTCCAGGCCGCCTTCCACCTACAAGTGGCTGTTCATCATGCCAGGCAGGCAGAGTGGGTAGAAGGTGGCCTGGAGCTAGAGCTAGAGCCCTGCACGCTGGGGCAGGAGTCACCAGGCTGCAGCTTCCCCAAATTGGCTGGGCGTGTGATGCCCAGTACTTATCCCATTTTTCCGCACTACCTTCTGCCTGGAGCAGTACAGCAGGGGCAGGAGGAGATGCTG